AAACGTGCAGATGAATCAAAACCTCATAAAACCGACATATAACGAAGAAGACAAAGATTATTCTGCACATGCATGAAGGAATCACAGAAACAAATCAAAATCAAAAGCAACCGAAAACATGAAATCGATAAGGAAAGGCCAGTAGACCAAGGATTTGCTTTTATTCCGTCCAATTGCTCACCGAGACTCATGAAGGTTTCAGTAACCGATGGACGACGTACAGTAGACCTAATTGCCTAAGCATTCGGCACGTACGTATGTATACCCGGTTCGAATATCGACCAGAGAAATGGCTGCACTAATAATTCTATTCTGGTCTTCCTCTACGGCTCTAGATGTATGCAATAAGGCCACGAAATTCGCTATAATCGCGTCCTCTCTCCATCCTACCAAATCACGGTAAGCCAACATAATCATTAAATTAAGTGATACATAATCACCACACAGAATTGTCAAGTAACCGAGCAAGCGATAGATTTCACTCACATAGGCCAAAGAAGATTGTATTAAATGCCATGAATAAGTGGTATTTTTGAAACCTGATTATGATAAATATATCCTTATTCGCTAGTTACTCTCGTTAAGCAGGAAGCATATTTCATTTTTGGAGCCCGTGGGTGGAGCAGCAAAGATTTCTCTTCCTCCCACATAGCATCGGTCCTGGACATCATATTATACGCTTCTAACCCCCCCCCCCCCAACTTTAACTGGCCATCCTATTGTCCTAATTTGCGTTGTATCAACTAAAATATTTCCTCTGCTTTTATTGTTAACTTTGATGCTAATCCCTGCTACTTGGGGTTTTATTTCCAATTAATTTTGTTGGTTTCACGTTATAGCTAAGTACATGCACCTTTTTTTTGGTGTGTGTGTGTGTGTGTGTGTGTGTGTGTGTGTGTGTGTGTGTGTGTGTGTGTGTGTGTGTGTGTGTGTGTGTGTGTGTGTGTGTGTGTGTGTGTGTGTGTGTGTGTGTGTGTGTGTGTGTGTGTGTGTGTGTGTGTGTGTGTTCTGTCTGACGACAGGTCCATATGAACAGGATCCTTCCATCCTTTTCTCGGACTGGGACCTGTTCATATACGTTCTTGGCAGATGATCCAGAAGTGGTTTGCCATTGTCTTCTTCTGTGTGCGAATGGAGTAATTATTGGGATGCCACGGAGAAACCGGGGAAGCCCCCGGAGGAAAACTCCGTGTTGCCTAGACCACCTTGTATAAGAGAAATACCATGAAAGCTGGGATTTAAAAATTCTGCACGATCGCCTTCTTCCAAATCAACCGTTCACAGGCATTGACTGCTATTAGATGCTACAACACGATGAAAGTACATTTGGAAGGACTATTAAAGAAATGAAGACATTCTTAAAGAGTTAAAAACATTTTAGACAATTTTTTTAAATATAAATCAATTGGCTTCAACATGTTAACAGAACGCAGAGAGAGACAGACTTCCAAAATTATTAAAAGAAAAGTACACACCACGTAGACGAAGAAACCCTGGAAGACCGCAGAAGAAACTTTTAGACTCCGAGGCCGGAACGGGCCAATATGAGCTAAGTCCTTGACTGATGATAATGATGATAATGAATAAAACTAGTAGGAACTTCAGTAAGGATATCCGTCCAGCTTCTGGACTCAGAATCAACCCGTGATATTCCAAATACGAATTAACCGCGATGTTCGAACACGTTAATTGGAAGTCAGCCTTAAATTGTCTTAATTGTAAGCGATACGCCTGTTCTGACAGGTAACGAATTTTATCTTTATTCCATGAAAACAGAGACAGATTTCTTAGTCATTCTGAAACTTAACTTCATTTAGAGATTTAGGGGAAACCAGCTGCATGAACAGTGGTTTCAGGTAATAAGTTTCGTCCAAACAATTTCTCGCTAATCAACACAAATGCGAAAATCTGAGGTTCTAACGGCGGTAAATATAACAATTTTCTTTTTCTGGGTTGTGACGCCGTGTACGTTAGTAAGTAGATACCAACGTTTCGTAGAAACACACTGTCTCCGTCTTCAGGGCTGCCAATAAAACTGAAGTTTTGGGAAACCGTTCGGCTGAGATTAGTGCTAAACAGCTGCCCACAATCTTTTAATGTGACTCTGTGGGTTACTTCCTGTATAAGAGAATGACGTTTTCGATTTGACCATAGTTCGTAGTTAAAAAGAGACTTCATGCACCTCTGTGTGTCACCATGGCCGTTTTCTGTCATCCCCTCGCAGCCACCGTTGAACAGTACGCAGTTGAAATGTTTTAAAGCACCTTGTCAAGTTTGGGCTAGGGAGGATTTAATTTCCATTGAGAATCGTGCGGGCGTATGGACGGGTGTGCCACCAAGTGTTCATTTATGACTGTAATGATCCATCAAGCGGTGTAGACCAGCTGTCACCCTGCCTGTTGGCGACATCTGCGTACAATGAACACGGGCAGATATCCCGAGTGTTGAGGACACGTTCCAATTCCGCTTGCTTCCGCGCTGTGCTAAGCATCACCACAACGCGTTAGATGCAGTAGAACGCACGTGATTAATTATTTAGTGATGCCGTAGTGTTGCTGTTATTGCAAATGGTGAACGCATTGGGGGGGAGCGTATTTGAAGAGGATAGTGCAATTTGTCGACATCACATGAACTATAATTGCGCGAATCTCACGACCCTGAGCCGGCATTGACATTCATTCACACTCAACAGACAAGTGATGTATACACCAGTAAGGTTCAGAGTTGGCCGTAGAGGAGCTTGTAACTCAGCGCCTCATTAATATCAGAAAGGAACCTAGATTAACACTGGCTGTAGGAAGGAGAAGCTTGCAATTCATTCACTTAAACAGTTAATATTCCACAAACTCTAATTAAAAACAAGACACGAGATTCATTTAAATACTTGGACATTCAACCCGTACCTCAAAGAAAATCAACTGCTTAACAATGTTCGTGGAAATAAAAAAGTAAAGAAAAGCTATCCCGCTACGCTCCATCTAGGCACTTGGGAGGAGACGTTATAAAGCTACTACTCATTCTTAACCTCGACACTAGATGGGGGTGAGTGGTCAGCGTCACGTCCCGGCCGCGCGATACTGCAGTTAAACTAGTCTAGAAACAAATAGGTTCCATTAAAATACACTGGCATGTTCCAGACAATTTTGGCATTAACAGCTGAAATAAAAATGAAAAATTAATTCACATAAATGAATGTTTAATGAAGATCTATAGCAGCCGTCACCAAATTGCATGAACGAAAACCACGGAAGGACTTCAACTCACTTACCACGCTGCTCAGTCAAAAGTGTAGCGTTGCTAGCTTTGCAACGGTGCAAAATCTGAGCTGTCTTCACTCGCCCGGACTCCGCTGTTCGTGCTGCAGCCTTAAACGATTCTGATGTGACTTTTAAGCTAAAATTTGGGGACGGCTACAAAACGCCCTGTGAAGTGTCTGATAATTGTATACAGAGCGGCATACTTTCTTTGCAGTGTAAACATCTGCATGTTGTATTATGGCGATTGAAAAAATTACGAACTCCTGAAAACGTGGCACTTCCATGTCCTTCACTTCTTAAACTATTGGTCGCGAAAAGGCGATAGGGGGCTCAATATTAACTGATACAACGCAAGAAAAAAACAAACCACATTTTTCGCTTCAACCTCGAAGTCTTACGGCAAGTTTCCAGTTATTTATCCCAGATATAAATTTCAGCTTTCATACAACAGAGCTATAATTAACTGTAGGTCTTCTGGTTAAATTTCCTGCTTTTATGGCACTCGAAGTTTCATCGTCATATTCATAAAATCCTGCACATGGACCCCATACGAAATCAGTTCAATTTAGTCAGTTCTTTCACAACCTACGAGTATCTATACTAGATTCCTCCACCTATCTACGCCTAAATCTCTCTAAGGGCCACTTCCCTTAATGTTTTCCAACCAAAAAGTATCTATTTCTCGTTTTAATTAAATTTGCATGATTTTGTTGACAATGCAGATTCAGCATCACCCGTTTATTTTGGTGGCTCGCCTGACTTTGTATCTTGAAATATCTGCTCGTTAAATCTGTCAGATAGATGCCACAGAGATTTGATATAAATGAGCTTCGTAATGCACAAACGTAATACCAGATTATCGGATTAATGGAAAGAATAATTCCATGCCGCGACATCACGATCCCGGGCGATTTGGCGTTATTGGTTACGTTTCGAGTTCATTACGCGCACTCTGTTAGCTGTATTGTGTACTTCTCACCCGTATTCATATTCTCGTGCTACGTGTGGATGCATGCTTGCCATCTAGCGCAACATAGAAGAAATGACTTTAAAGGTTATTGACATCATTTGCCTTGAACACGGAAAAAAACGCGCCATTTCAATTTCAATATCTTCACATTCCTTTCTCTGAAATGAAATGAACTATTTCCCAACTACTGTGACAGAAATACCGACTGAAATATACAAGAAACACTTTATAATCAAAGCACATCATTCGACACGTTTCTGTTTCACTTCAGGCCAATTTACAGCCTTAAAATTTAATATCCCGAAATCTAAGATACTAATAATTTCCCTTTCCTCTTTGACAACCGAGATGTTTTTCCAAGAGGTTTCGTCATTGACACTGCTTGTATGTCTTGTTCCACTTCCAAGTTACACGTCCTGCCCAGAATCCCCTTGATGAAACTCTCCTAGCTATACTAGGTGTCCTATATGAAACATGAAGTTTCTCGTTATGTAACACCATTTTACAAAATCAGTCTTCCTTACAAAAATGAAAAAGCACTGTTATCTTTTATTTGAAGAACATAAAAAAGAAGATAGCTGATAATAAGTCATATGTTAACATTATCAACGTACTGGGCTTCACAAAATAGCTTCACTGATCTGAAGATAACGAAACAGAAACAATTCCATGTATCCTGTATGTTCTGCGTGGTAACTTTAATTACTGTATGAAGAATTTCTGTATATTCGAACTGAAATAGCGTAATAAATAGCATGCCAAGCATTGCTCACCTGGACAAATTCTTTTATTACCAGTGCGTGTGTTCTGGTCAGGGTGGTGGTATATGATCAATGAGCCACTTGTCAACAAGGTGAACAATGCGTTTTTTATCATTTGCTCGGCTGTTTGATGACGTATAGATCACGTGAGCCACGTTTACGTCATTCAAGACTTCCACGATTACCAAACGACACCAGTACTGGAATCCGCTGTCAGTTGTATGAGGCGTGCGGGAAGCTAAGGCGTCAGTGAATCTCACTTCCTGGTTGAGCTGTCAATATAGATCAATCATTCTGTTAGAGATCAGAATGTGGAATAGAGCAGGATTAAGTGAGTAATGTGTTTCGTATATTCACGCTGTGTAATAATTTGTAATGACGATTGAGGCTTGTGCAGCGCCATACAAGGACGTTTTTGAGTTGACTTCGCCAGGGCTTTATCGTGCTTAAGATAAGTTTGGTGTGTTAGGCCAAAAATGTTTTTGTGAGCAGAGATATCGGGTGTTAGTTAACTCGGTGGTTGAATTCTTTCATAACATTTTGAAATAGGCGAAATAACAGATGACCGTGCTTTATTTTCCATCGTGCTGCTAGCTTTTTACTTTCTCTTTTCCTTATTTACTTAAGTATTTATCCTGGCTATGCTAATTTGCTGCTTTTCCAATATTATCAAGGACCACACACACTATTACGACTTCGATATAATCATTGTAGAAGTTTAAGAGAAACACAGGCGTTTTGTGTTAAACCTTTATGTATTCTACAGTTTCATCTAGCTATTAAAATACTGCAAAGTACGCACCACTGGTATGATCCATAACGCCTGTTATAATCTCGATAACGAATATTTTATTTCACTAGAAACGTCCTTTCTCAACCCCATTTCTGTGAAAAAGTCAACTAATATTAACATCTATTTTAAACGGCCAGTTTCGTCTCATACGTAATCCACGATACTGCATTGGTTCTTGTCGTCAGATGCACCTGAACATTTTGCGGGTCACATATAGTATTATATTAATAGTCATTTGCTAGTGCCAGGTCTTTTGTACTGACAAATTTTGTAATCATTATACTTTACTTTTGCTAATATTTTTAGAAATTACGTAATGGGTTGGTTAATAAAGATGGAGGAAAATGTGACTATTGTAGACATAGTGTCAACACATTGAATAAGTATCAGCTTCACAGAACAATTGTTAGCCTCTCGTGTTTTCAGAAGAGTGCAGAAATAACAAATGCCAAGTCTACCATCTAGTCTCACAAACCTTATAATTAAAAAGGTAAATTTAAAGTAACATAAAAAGGTATTTCATAACGCACTCCTTTTACTTTGTTCATCAATTTCTAGTGTTGAAAAATAGTTCATACTGTTCATATAATATAAATGGGTAGTATAATTTATATACTGTATGTAATGAGTGGATTTATTTCTAAGATTTCACTCCTTTGTGTGAACCGTTTGCTAATTTATGTGAAATCTCAAAACTGTGATAGTTTGAAATGTACTTATGACTTAATACACATCCTGTTGTCATCTAACTTATGGATCCATGAAATGTAATAAATATGTACGTAACTGAAAACTCAGGGAGAGGGAGGATGTTATGATAAAGCAAGATTCAAATGGCCAGTTTATTCCCCTCCCCTCAAGAAAGACCATTCTGAACTATGAATTTGTGCTCTTGTGATCAGTATGTTCCGAAGATATTTAGTGTTAAAAATATGCATGCCATTAGCATGGATGGACTAAATTGTTGGACATCAGAAAGCAAAGAAATTTGCTTTATCACATCGCTTTTAAGGTTCCTTCGTCGGAACCCTATTAACAAGCTGCACGTGTTTATTAACGGTCAGTCTCTGGCTTAAAATTCAGATCGCGATGTTATAGATATTACTTGGCCAATTTGTGTGAAACTCTGAAGAGAATGTCACTGATGTAAACCCAGCTTAATATTCTAAATCCCTGTCATTAGTTATATAAATAATATTGACTCGCAAACTTGTAAATCAAGAACAAATATAATGTCATTCAGAACAGGTTTTTGAAGTTTTGTGTCCAGTATGTTGGGTAGATACGGGCTTATGATGATGTTTACTCCACTGTAATGTTAGGTACATAACCGTGAAATACAGTGTATAATCAGGAAGACAGAAATGTTTACGTGGCTTACCCAAGAGTAACATCAACTAATTTATCTTTTTCTTGTCATGACAAGGATTCACGCTATTTCTACCAAAAGATGACAGTCCGGTAATAATTTAAATATGAAACGTGTCAGGAAGTAAATAAATGTAGAAACACATTAAACCGGTATGGTTGCGCAAATGTTGTTTCAGTTACTGCATTTGTAAAGTATAAGTTATTTGAAATGAATATTTTATCGATACAAACACAAACACTGCACAAATTAGCAGCCCTATTTTGTCATAGAATTCGATTTACGTAATCTCTTTATGCTTATATGGCATGTTCAGTTGTATTTATAATCCAGAGTATGCTGAGTTTAAGCCATTGGAACCTAAAACGCTCTACGTTGACGAAGAGTGCTTCAGATGCTTGCTTTAGTTTCCAGCTCGCCACAAATTTAAGGAAATATTTCCGGGTTAAATCAACCAATATTTTTCCAGGCATGAAACAGAAGAATATATTTTATGGAAACAAACTCTGGTGGACGTTTATCACTTCGATCAGTATGTTCATTCAAAAGTTTTGACCTCGTTAATTGTAAATTGAATCAAAAGCCAGGATGTAGTGTGTAGAATTGCATGTCTTCTTCGGACAGTTGTAACATTCTGCGTCACGCACACTGGGTTAACTTTCTAGCTAAATTAAATGCGTTTCGAAACACACATTTCTAAAACAGGAAGATATGTTTAGATTCCTCTTTAAGAATGACACGGTATGCTGAATCATCTTATATACGTAATTTCCCAGCTGTGTATCATATTCGGTTCTGTTTCATTCTTCGCCTTTGCCTTCTGTGGGAGAAAAGTAGACGGGATAAATGCTAGATGTGGTGAATGTCCATCATGTTTATGAAGGGAAATGAAAATCAAGAATTTTATTACACTTGGAGTGTGATTATGAGCTTTGTTGGCTATTTCAGTCAATACAGGTTGGGCGACGAGATATCGAATTCCGGTAGTGATGCTTAACTAAACACAGGGACACTCTCATTGTGCCAAAAATGGGTTATTAATTTGTTTTGTGTTTAAGTTTTAAGCTTTTCTTTTTAAGTAACATCATCTCACAAACACCAAGCATCAGTTACAGTTTATAAAAGTACCAGTGTTTCTCTTCCAGTTTCAGCAGGGCTTCTCATGATAGAATATGGTCTCATCCCAACCATACAGACAGGTTTCTACTGCGATGACCCCAAGATTTCCTACAAGTTCAGAGGGGACACCATTTCCATTACAATTTTACTGACTTTCACATTTCTGGCTCCTTTACTTGGGGTAAGTTAAACAAAAAAGTTAATTTTGGAACAGCTTCAGGATACAGAAGTCATAAATATTGTAGAATTTACCAAAATTGCCACCATCTGATAACAACTTAACACACAATCTCCTATCCTTTAACCCTTCACTTCTCTTTATTGTCTTCTTTTGTCATTTATCTCTCATTTTATTTTCTAGTTCTTCTAATGAGTTACTTTACACTCTGAAAATTCTCTTTTTAACCAACTATATGTGATAATTTGGGTATAAAACTCTTTTATTAAAATTTCTTGCACCTGGAGTTATTTGATTTATTGTCAGTTATCATATGCAGCATACCAACGCTGTAGTAACTTGAACACTCGAGGTAAAATAATAAAATTATGAACACAGATTGAAAGACTAAAATTACATTCCAGAAAGCCACCATAATAACATTATGTAACATGTTATAACAATCAACAGCAATCAAAATTAGTGAAACATATGAGATAACATTCTCTCCACACTTTGGAACTATTTAATAAATTTAATATAATCCGAAAATTTATTCTGTTCTGAGTTCCTGAACCATGTCTTCCATCCTCATTAATTTCCATCCCCAAATATATGTAATTAAAACAGTGTTAATGCATTTTATATATTAATGTAAAACTATTTGATCCGACAGTTTTGGGTGATTGAATCCTGTTGTTACTCAGTTGACGACCGTGGCCTAAGCAAGTCTGCGAGGCAGCGAAGTTTGACTGGTGCAAAGCAAGCACTTTACTGGTACTGGCAATTCTTTATTGGCCTTGTTATGGTTTTTGTGATAACAGAAGTTGCCAAGGTACTAGTGGGTGAACACAGGCCACATTTTCTTGACACATGCCGTCCTGACTTGGTTAGCAACTGTACAAAAACGTGAGTAGCAAATTATTATATGAAGTATCATAATTCATTGTTAATATAGGTAATGAATGTACGATAATTACATTAACTTCAACAACAGTAATGTACTTTTGATTATCACTCTCCCAACTGAAATCATGTCTTTGTTCTGTACTTTTCAAATAATCTGTTAAAAATATACAAACTCTTGCATTTTTGATTACTTAACTTACAGAGAGAATGAGAATTAAGCCTTAGTTTGTCTTTAACTATAGAGATAAAATCAAATATATGAATCCACTAATTTAAAACAAATCACTATAAAAATAGCACTTTCATAATTCTAGACATACAGATCTCTGAAAGTTATGAGAAAAGAGTTGAAGTACAATCACATTTATTATAGAACAAAACTGCAGGTGGGCCTGTTATGTGAATAAATATGTTTATTATTTAAATTTCACACACCTGTAATAATTTTATTTCTCATATGAAAACTACAAGAAGAGATGAACATAATGGTTTCATTGATTGTAGTCTTTTGGGTTGCAGTGCCATGTTGTCTTGTAGGTGGTTTGTAAGATCAGATATGAAGATCCTCTGAAACACTGGCAACTTCATACAAAATTACGTGGTATCACAACCAATGAAACCACAATCAGCATGTTCACCATTATGAGAACCTCAAGTCTCAGATACCTATAATTTGTTCCAAAAGTTTTCCCTCCTGAAAGTAAGATTTACTGCGCAGCAACATTTGAAGTGATAAAAGCCTATCTTTGTTTCAAAATAATTTTGAGAGCTAAGTATAAAGAAATCACGAGATTTGTTAAATTCACCTGATTGAGATAATTTTTACGTCATCAGTGCAGTTTTATCCAAAGGAAAACAGGATTTTTCCATACATATTATATGAATATATATCACTTTCTTCTGCTTACTGGTTGAAATAATCTTTTCCTGCTTTTTTTCCCCACTCCCATCACTTAAACTTCAGAAGTAGTTTTGTGCATACCAGGTTTCAGTTATGAATTGTGTTTGAATGAATATACTTACCAATTGGCAATATGTTATTTCACTCTTTAGTTCCAATTACATCCCAAGTGACTACAAATGTACCAATACGGATATAAGTGCATGGCTGGTCAGAGATTCAAACAAGTCATTTCCATCTGGGCATGCCTCATTGTCAACCTATACAGCAGTCTTCATGATAGTAAGTTACAGCTTTATCATAATATTTCAACATTGCTTAAAGATTGTATATTCTGAGACATTTAACAGGAAATATTCTGAAGATTTCTGTCCTCTGGGTTGTTAAGCTGTGTAGTATGGTAGATGTTTACTAACATTTCAGAGGTCATACTGCCTCCGTCATCAGGGCGATGACCTCTGAAACGCTGGTAAACATCAACCAGACTACACAGCGCAACAACCGAGAAGACAGAAAACTTCATACTCACTGCTGTCAAAACCTCAAATCTTACATAGGAAATATTCTCTTCAAACACAATTACATTTTTCTAAGTTTATTATATTTTGGTTTATATGTTTCAGTTTCATTTCGTTTATTAACAAATGGGAGGTAGGGCACACAGGAACCAAGATAGGTTATCAAATATTTTTAGTTTAACATTCCAGTTTTTTTAATGTATCATAGGTTGCTACAGTTTGTTTCTCAAATTATTACAAGTTATTTAATCTTCCCTTTACAGTTCTGTTTGTTCTAACAACAAATTGCAAACAGTACACCTTTATTGTCTGTATCTTCTATCCTCTCTGTCATAAATGAAAAAATGAAAGTAAAGGAATGAAAAACTTTGAGTGATACACATGTATGCTCACTTGCATAACTTACGTGGCAGTAGAGGGACTGTCACCGTATGCTAACACTTAGTGAAGGACAAAGATTATATAATGTTTGTATGAAGGAAAAGGAGCATATATTATGCATTAGACCAAAATAACTAACAAAACTTGACATTTATAGGTGCATTCACATCTTTGTGGAATACCCATTAAAATCATGCCATCTATCTGCATGAAACAACTTATAACAGATGAACCAGTTTTGATTAAAACTGATGGAGAATTCTATGAAATTAGTTAAGAGTGCACAGTATTGTTTACTTCTATTGATTACTGACTTTTATACTGCAAGATCTATTTTGAGGTTAACTATCAAGTACATATTCTGCTGCACTATGACAACAGTAAATATGCTCAAATCAGATTGTTAAATATTTGCAGTACAGTTTCGCAGAATTGATAAGCCCTCCTAATTGGAGATGAAGGTTATATACATTAAAATTGAAAATAATTTTCTTCTTTAAGTAAGACTTTGAGTCAGAAATATTCAGGTAACCTGTACTCTTTTTTCCTACTTCGATTCCATAGAAAATATACGTTAGTAAAACAATATATTTTAATTTGTCTGTATATTTTATATGCCCTTGAACTTGAACATGATTCTTACAAGACTTGGTTGATCAGCTTAGAGACGCTTTAAAACCGTAACTTTTTTATTTGTTATATTAAAATGTTCTAGTGCAACAGTGATGGTCACTTTAAATAAAGAATTCTTGTAATTTCTGGCACTATACTCATGCTTAAATTAGAAGTAATGTCTCATTTGCAAGGCCTAATGTAATTAAATATAGTATAGTGCTGGATACAGTTACTGGTCACTGTAATTAATTGTTCCATAAGATATATCATCTCATATATTTTAATAATTAATTAACTAGAGTTCTGTAACTTTTGCAGTGGTTCATACAACGCAGGGTTCCCAAAAATATCACCTTCGCGCTGGTTCCATGGTTGCATTGTTTGTGCTTAATGTGGGCCATGATCTGCTCATTTACTCGTATCACAGACCACAGACATCACTGGTGGGATGTTTTGGCTGGCTTTGTAATGGGAGCCATCATGGCCACTTTCACAGTGAGTATTCCAAACTACAATTTAGGGAATGTAGAAAGTTCTTTCTGAAACATTCTATGGATGAATACTCACAGATAAAATTGTGGTACAAACATAAACATTTTCTCCGTCTCGTCATAATATACTATTTTTGGTCAACCACATTCTTTACTGATAAAATTTGCATCTAGTAGTTCCTTGCCTTCCCCATAAATACAATATTTCCTGATAATCATGCTTTAAAACCTTCTCATGTTGGCAAATTTTACTAACATTATTTTAATTTCATCTGTTAAAATTTAAACATTTTTACTTTTTTCCAACTAAATTATTACTTGCTTGTTGGATTTTTGGACGTTGTCTAGTGTTTGATGTTATAAAACACAGCATTTCAAGGACTGGATCTGTCATTGTCATCAGGGGAGTGAAGGAGGAAACTACTCTGTGGGGTCCATTAAAATGAGCTAGTCCCAGTCATTGGATTAGCTCAAAACATTGTTTTTTATAACATATAGTCCAAAAATTCAAGAATCTAGATTGTATTACACTATCATCAAAACTCTTCAGAAGAAATCAGTCTTGTGTTAAATTTTGTATAGTCAAAGCTAGGGGTTAGATAGGAAATAATAAATTTTTGTCATTTTTTCTGTACAGGTAAAATCCTATTGCAGAGGTTTCTTCTCCCACAGTTGTCAAAGCACAGCTCAGACAAATAAACATGATGGATTAAAGGAAAACGGTCACATAGGAACTAGCAATGGAGGTAACAGACACTTGTCAGTTCGTCACCTTCTATCTTCAACATCAAGTTACACAAGCTCCATAACACCAGAGGACAGAGAACTACGAGAAGTTGCCATGACATAGCACGAAGTCATTGTGACAAACTGAAAATTCAGACTATGATAGTCTGTGTCAAACTTATCTGATATAAGAGCTATTGCACAGATATTTTATTATATGGTTTGCGAAGCTGTCGTCTTAAGTACAAGGTTAGACACAAAACATGAATGGTCCAAATATGGAACAATATGTTTTAAGTACCTTTATACTAACAACAGGTTATATAATTGAATCCAAAGTGACTGGTTTTATTTTTATGCAGTCTGTTGGTACAGGTATGTCTTTTTCAATAAGTTTCATTGATATTAGGTGCTGGAACATGGTTGTCAGACTCTTATCGCTAGTGTAAACACACACACTTTAAATGTTGACACTGGTGCCTCAATGGGAGTAAACTTCAATCTCCATCCATTCGAGTGTGACCCTGTAGCTTGCAGGGAGTGTTGTTTCCACTATTGTTACCAGTAGGTTATACTCAGTCACATTTTTTTTCGTCGAAGTGACAGATTGTTTCAAATTTTGTGTACTGTTAACTTAATCATGCAGCTATGTCAAGAAATGCAGATATACAATGTAGAACGCCTGGTAAATGGATCTTCTGATTCACAAGTTTGTGTGTTAAGAGTAACAACTAAGAAAACGTACCTAATTGTAAATACATTTTTTTTTACATAAAAGAAGCAATAATAATTTAAATTTGTGTCCACTACAAGAAGTGTGGACTTTACATTAGTAAACACTGTCATTACACTGAATAATTTATATGTACTAGCAAATAAAATTATATTGAATGATTATAATTATATTGCATAAAAATGAAAAGTGATATGAAAAACCTAAAATCATATATTTTTATGCACTGAACTATAACAAAGTTATTAATTTGTTCCTGATATGTAAAACTTATAAGGCCTAAGTCCAATACCATTAGGATATTAAAGTACTTCGTTAAGAAAATTAAACCAGTCTGTTGCTGCCGCATTCACTCTGCTGATATTGCATATTTTAAAACCTCAATATCAAGGTATGGCGAATGTTTGATTTATTACATGGTCACTATCCTTTTATGTGGTTCTAACATACAAGATGTGAACATTAAAGAAAGAGTATCCAGTACCTTTCTCTTCATTTAACTCTTTGTAGTCCAGTATTCATACAACTGTGTCATGTAGCACTTCCAGCACAGTTAAATTTGCAGAGGGTTGTTATAAGGTTAACAATATGGGAGTTATGGTATAATTACTATTAAACTGAAATTTAAGACAGGTGTGAAGGACATAATTATAGTACTAGCCAAAAATGTGTGTACAATAACTGAGAACAATCATGAAAACAGAAATAAAATGTACCTCATAACTAACTTAATTTGTGTAGTATGCAGTGGGAGTTGAATGTTGCTAATCATACACTGAGTTCCAGAAATGTAGTTCATTATAAAAAGTGAAGTAAGCTGGAATAGCAACAATAAATAATATAATAATACAGCACCATCATAAATATGGAACTATTGCTTCTTAATTAATTATATTTGGTACACATACAAGTCTGGAATTAGCCAGGCAATGTAGCTGACTATTTCTTCATATCAATTTAACATTTGGCACCACACATTAAAATTATTTCATAATTACACTCTAAAATATATTGATAATTTTTCATAATTGTTCTAATGCATGTTATAAGAAGTGAGTTCACACTATTCTTAACCTTTATATGAGCTATATGTCATGTCTTATGTATGGTAAAGTTGGCTGTGTGTCGCCTTAGCATAATGCCTAACATCAAACCTGGAGATGAAGTACAGCTGGCAGCCCCATAGTATGGGGGTTTAAATACCCTATTTCTATATAATTAAAGTCAAAAGTTTTCTGTATTGTACCTTACTGCTGCATGAAGTATAGCAACTTCTGGCCATTCAGATTATATCCGTGATTAACTTGTTGATTTGTACTTGTGAGAGAAACCAAACAGTGATTATATGTTACAGCGTTATGATGTATTTACGATGCAAAAATAATTTTTCATGAATATTACATAATTTAAGCTTTGAATACCTTTATGTTTACACTCTGGAATTATTGTAATGTTTCCTTTCATCTTTATACCGAGAAATTTACATGTGCCTGAAATATGACTACACCTAATGTAATGCTACATTTACACAGCAACATTTTAGAGATTAGAGTGGTTTTATCCATACACAGCAGGTCTACGACACAGTTTACACATCAACAGATTTTGAACTCTAATTGGTCTCTAAATGATCTCTCCTAAAAGAATAAAACTCTAAGTGTCGACTCCATTTACACGCAAGGGTGGCATACAATCTATTCACAGTTCTGCACTTCTCGATCAGTTAAGAACATGAACTCATGTGAAGAGGCAGCCTCTGCTGTAGCAGTTGCTTCCATCACTAGGAGGCAACGAAGAAACAAAACACAGTGGGTAAAATGACATGCTAAGACACAATTATGGAGTGTGTGCTTCTCTTGTGAATCAGCTACAGGTTGAAGACCCTATGCAACTGAGGAATGTTTTTGAAAGAATGTACTTCATAAATTGAAGAGCTTGTTGGCTAGATCAGACCAGCTGTACAGAAACAAGGTACAACAATAAGAACGATGATTCATGTGTTGAAGAGACTGGTGGTAACAATGCTCTTCGCAACTACTGGAGCAGATACTGATACTATGTTCAATAACACTGATATTTGGTTTAATGTTCATTGAGGAAACTAATTACTTTTTATTTGTTTAGGAGATTCGTCTCAAATCAACAAATGCATGATACGAAAAAAAATACCAGAAGTATGCCAGGCTGTAGCAAATGTTACGATGAAACAAGGAATTCTGATGATGAGTCCAAACAATGGGAAAGAATTCTTTTTAGATTGTGGAATGCAATTTTTTATGTTTATTAATTGCTGCTGTCCTGTTGTACACATCAATTCAATGTGGTTGATTACTTATGAGGGGTTAACATAGGATTAGGTGTAAATATTCATTTTATTGTTATTTTGATGTAAATAAATAATATGCAAGTTTTTTGCCTAAAAATCTTAATTATTTCCAAAAGTAAAGGCATTTAAACTTGTTGCAGCAGCATGGCATGCATGTACACATTTTTAAGAACTGAATGTTCCAAAAAGTCATTTCATACATATAATTTTTCTTTTCTCACATGCTATTATGACATAAAAAATTAAACATGCTGAATTATTTTCAAGTTAAGAAAATTAAATTTGAACATTTTAAGAAATAATTTTTTGTTTTTTCAAATATACTGTTGGTTCAGCTAGTTGATATGTCAAATGGTAAGAAATCAAATATCAGTACTCCAGTACATATCAATTCAGACAAATAAAAACATTGCTGTTGAACACATCATCCGAGGAAGTGCAATTTAATATTGGCTTGGATGATAACCCTCTACAAGGACAGAGATAATGGAGTCTCCAGCAGTGTCTGCTTCTTATAGATGCTTTCTGTTTTTGCAAAGCACAACACTTGTACAGTTAATAACTGACAGCAGTCATTTGAGTGCTTCTTGCCAGTGCTAAGTTTGCATGCTTAGTACATACAAGGTGCCCCATTCAAACCTCCTACATTTTAATAAATCATTACGAACAAATTATGATAAAGTAAGGATTGTAATTAGCACTAGAAGGAAGAAAAACTCAAAGAATTTTATTTGCAACTACATAATGTAATGTAATTTTTTCTCCGATTAATAAGCAAAATGGCGACTCCACACCAGCATGCACAAATACTGTCAACTGAGATTGCTGAGCAACATGTTCCAGCAACATCCTTAGGTCACTGTTGCTCAACAATGACCATAGTCCCCACTGTTGCACAATAATTATCCTGTTAATGTAGGCTGCCTACATCTTAGGAAAACCGACAAAGATATGCCCAATGGTTGGTTTTCTTCAGTCCCTCCAGGCAAGTGGTGGGATAGTACCTTAAATTAGGCCATGACTGCTTCCTCCCACATGCATTCCAATTCATTATGCAGTATCATCCTCTCATTTGATACTATATAGTCTGAGCTACTGAAAAAGTCATTAAATCCCCAGTTTGAATGGTCGAGGCTCCCGCCACGACGAAACCCCGTTAGCGTTAGCAAAATTTCCGTTTTTTAAATTAAGACCGTTTACCATTTCCAGCAATGCGCCTGTGCGCAGGAATGGTTTCACCTAGGTAGGGACGATGCTTGCGCCGGCCTCCGCCCTCAGTTAGCTTTTTGGTTGGTTGGTTGGAAGTCATTAAATAAACTAAATATAAATAAATAAAATCAACTGTTATTGTTGTGATGGGGGTGAGACTATGTCTCTGGAACAATGGAACCATTGTCCATCCCCCTCATGACACCAGTGAATATGAAGCAGTAGTTGAATGACACAGATGGGAAAAGTGAAAAACCTGTTCCAGTGCCACTACGTCCACCATAAATCCAACACAGATTAACTTGGATTTGAAACTGGGCTGCCTAAGCTATGGCATGACTAAAACCTGTAAGTTTTGCAGGATTGCAGACTTGATTTTAGTATTCAATTTGAACAGAAACAATTGTTTCATAGATATGATAATAAAAAACTTGATACAAATTTTTTTACATCATGTGACAATCATATTTCAGGAAATGTATGTTTCTCATAATTATGTCCAGGACACGAGTTTTATTTAGCCAGAATGGGTAAGGCAGGAGAAATGTGGAAGTATTTTGGGGGTTTGGAATTTATGTTCAATTTTAACATTCTGTTCACCCAAAAGGGAATAACAACTATACAGCATGAGGTATCCATCTTTGTTTTTCACAAAAATCATACTTTAGGGGTGAGGGAAGGCATATGATACAATATTCTATGTGAACAACTATATTTACAAGTCAGACGACAAACATTCATGTTTCTTATTGACATTTATAAAGATTCCTCACTTTGTTATCATGGGGTAGGGAATATTGTACAACAGTATATTCATAACATACATTTTAAATATGGTAATCAACAACAACAACAAGAGTAATAAAGGGATTATTCCTGTATTCCATTCACAGGTATCTTGAAGGCGTGATGGTTTCAGAAGACTTTTGCATAATTGATACAGAATGTTGTGTGTGTCAGAATCTCCTGTGACACATGTCAAAAGGAGACAAATGACAAACACAGCACTTTTCATGTTTGATATAAAGATAAACTGTTCACATTTCAATTTGAAAGCTTTTAACATAAGTTATACTGTAGTAGTGAGTTGACAGGATTGAAAAATGTTGAAGTATCATTAGTCATAGCATAATTACAGCAAAGTGTAATATAGATGTTTGCTACGTAAACAGAAGGAAAGTTTCAAATCTTCTGCATGGTAAACAGACATGTAGGCCAGATTATGAATATGAATGCTGGCTGCATTAAACTGTACAGCCACAGTAACAGTGTGTTCCAGTACTCTCTGCTGTTATGATACGGTACACTGAAGGGAGGGAGGGAGAGCAGTTAAATTCATCAACAAAAATGAAACATGGTAAAAGCACCCCATTAATTTCTTTGTATTCAATCAGATGTACCAATAGCAATAACAGTTCACAATCATATCTCTGAAGGAATGAAGGCAAAGAGATAATACTTTAACAGCACTGGCAGCAACACTAGATGTCACATAAGATAACATTTAAATTACCATGGGGTGCTCCATAAATGTCTTGTTATGTAAGAAACAACTTGAGATCTGTTCCGCATCCAAGGCATTGCAATTGTTTAAAATTGAAACATTTAATTTTGTATGAAAACAAAATATTTTTGCAACAAATCTGTACACACATTTTATCAATTAACTTACATTAACTTGTAAGATTATTTATGTTTGAAGTAGAACAAACAATTTTTAGACACATCAGATGTTTAATATGAAAACTTCAGTGAATACTTCTCAATGTGTTACAACAAGCATTATTTTTTCAAAAGATGTATATGCTAATATGCTGCATCACAATTGAAGTCTAGCAAATAAGAAACCATTTAAAATAGCATCTCATACTTTTAAGATCACATCAGTCTGCACTGCACATATCACTACTATTAATGAAAATTCGCTGCTGAAGTTATCCCTGATGGGCAAATTGTTTTACACTCAGTCTGCAAATACCACACCACCATTAAAACAAAAACTTTAATAAGTACCACACAGTATTTACAATGTGCCTGTATACATGGGATCTTATAAGTCTGACTGACAAGACACTGATACAAAGAACAACATAATGCAATGCCACAGTAACTCATGTGCTACTAACATGAAAGATGAGACCTGTAGGAAACCTGTTTTCCACATCAGAGCTCAATAAATGTTTCACCAACACATTCTTTAAAATATGTTCTGGATAATAAACTTTAAGCAAACAAATATCCAGAAGAAATACCATACATGAGGTAAACTTAATGAAAATTTTATATTTTCATGTTCAAAAAAAAAAAGTCATAAGACATTCACACCCATACATTTGCAAATAAGTGTACACTTTCTTTCACTCTGGAATGCAATCAGAGAATGGGGTGGTAATGGTTTCATGAAGCCCTATTCTCTCTCCTGTATGCTGCACTAAAGTTACACTACACACATGAAAACATCAAAACTGCTCTGCTTTGAACATTAATAAAAATCTATTTCAAAGCTTAGAAGGCAATGTTAGAAAGTTTACCCATGTGAAAAATATTTCAAAATTATTTAGCACATGCCACATTAATTTGTTTGTTGACACACATTATACTAAATAACATACTTAATATATGTTTTAATCTCAAGATACACATGTATGATGTTTCAAGAATGTGAAAAATCCCTACAGTTTACCAACAAATTATTGCATATTTATATTCTGTTCTGAGAATTGTTGGTATACTTCAGTGTCAATGTGCATTTGCTAACCCTTTACCTCCATTCATGTATCACACAGGTTTTTCATCTACTTTTACAATTTGAAAAACTTCATGTTCATGTCATATAACAACTGACTACTGTAACTGTAACCAAAGTCCCTCATACAGCCTTCCTATTCTCAAAAATTATTTTCATCTGTTCAGAATTATACAGAAAACATAATCAATCATATCTTTGTAAACTCTTAAATGGTCAATTACTGCTGTGTAATACATATTTACAAACATAAATTTGTTCTATGCATCTGACTAACAGTCACAAACTGGATATATATACAAGAACGAGCAAAGGGTGGGTGAATTGTGTACAGTGCATTGAACATATAATTTCTTGTTAACAACTGTATTTACAACTCATTAAATTTTAGGAAATGAGATGTGCTCTTAATCTTACTTAAAACAGAATGCTTTAACTCATCACAAATATCTACACATGGCCCCAGATCATCAAATATTTGCAGTATGATGGTTTTAAAAATGTAACAATACACCCATTATGTTACAAGCAAATCTACTTTTTAATATTATTTGACAATGTGATCAACAGGCAGTTACTATTTCTTCCATATGTCTTTTATATGTAAACAGTGAAAAATCTTGATGAGGCACTCTCATCTGTGAATGAGATCAATTAAATCTCATAAACCTGCCCTTAAATATTCAAACCTACCAATTTAATACACTCCTTTATAGAAGGATGTATGAAGTATGGAACTATATCAATTGTAGCAAGAAATGCCTCTGCCTAAAATCATGATCAAATCTAATCGAGAAAAAAGCCCTGGTGCAAAATTGCTGCTGGTCTGTCCCCACAATAAATATAAAATAACTTTACAGCCTGAAGCCATAAACAGGATCATAATTATACCATCAGTATTGATTCTAATGTGATTATAGATTTCTAAGTGAGATTTCAGGTTCACATGGCTGTCTTCTGGGTTGTTGTGCATTTAGTCTGGCAGAAGTTCACTGACTTTTCAAAGGTGCTTACTGCACTCATCACCCTGATGATGAAGGTAGCAAGCACCTCTGAAACATCAGTAAAATTCTGCTAGATTACATGGTGCAACAAACAAGAAAACAGCCATCTTCATAGTTTTCTGAGTTTATTGGCTGCCCACAGTTCTACTCGCTGGATCAGCGACTTTCAGTGAAAAGAACTGGAACTCCTGAATATTAAAACCAACATTCAAAAGAGAATAACTCAATAAAAACCTCCAAGGACTGTCAATTATTATTATTATTACTATTATTATTGTTGTACTAGCCTCATCTGTGAATTATGGTTCTTAAAAAATACTGCTGACAAAATAAACTTATAACCTACCACTAAGCAGTGTCTACTATCAAATTCAAGCTTGTTCTATTTCCTTTGCTGGAAGCCAGCCATCTATATTTTATAACGAATGCAATTTGTATATCAAACAAATAGATGACACCTCGCATAACAATGATTTAAAAATTTTTGATATCAGAAATGCACAAATTGGTATCGCTTCTTCACAAAGAGTTAATTAAATTAACTGTTAAGCATCTTACTCAGAACCTTAAGTAATTTCCACAACTACACAGCCTTCAATTTATGACGCTGTGAATGTGCTTGTAATGCGAGCATGACCAGCACTATATCGATGCAACTTTGAATTGTGCACTCATCCGGCGAATCGCACAAGATGACTGGTCAAATAGCTAATCCTGATGGTGCTACGATTCGTTTCTGCAGTGGTTGTTGGGATCTGTGCATGATGGGATAGTGTTAATCCAGAACTCTTGTGATGAAGCATGGCTGCATTTAAGTGGGTATGTCGACGCTCAGAACTGCTAGTGGAGTTCAGAAACTCCACACCAGTTGTATGAACATCCTCGTCATTATATTAAGGTTGGAGTCTGGCGTGCAATCCCCTCCAAAATAGTAACAGGGCCAACCTTTTCTAATAAAATCATAAATTCTGAACATTATGTAAATTTAAAACTTAGACTCTTTTTCCAAGAACTGACTGATAAAGAGACGGTTTCTTCATGTAAAACAGTGCTACAGCTCACACAACTGATCGGTGGATGCCAGCATTAAGAGAAGTGTTTTGTGAACAAGTTATTGACAACAATCGACACATGGCAGAACTTAATGAAAGTATTCAAAGAGTGATTTCATTCATTTCCCAAGAACAGCTTTGTCGAGTAATCTGAAACATGTAAACAGGATGCGACGCTTGCCTGCAAGCACAGTAAAATCACTTTTAACATAATTTTTTAAGTAAGAACAATCAATGCAATAACATGTATCAGTGATGAGAAATACTCGTAGTTCACTGTTACTAGTGGGAAAAAAGGCTAGCAATTTCGCGGCTACTGAGCTTGGTTCATCGGGAAAACTTCCGAGAGGCTTACGGCGGCGTCATAAATTGAAAACCCAGTAGAATACAATGTGGAGTTCCATTTCTTTACTGCTGACTGGAGTAGGGGAGAAAAAGAACTTAGTCACACATCTGAAAAGAAAGGGGAAACAATTCTGATTTAGTATGAAACTTAAAGAAAGTCAAATTCTATACATATGATGGGGGGAAGGGGCACAATCCCAACCTACATGTTGTTCAAAATATAAAATCGAAGATACAATTTTAACACATTCAATTCCAAAGACAACTCACATCATAGTTCAGTCACAGAAACATTTATGCTCTTTGTAGTATTTGAGATTTTCATGGCAGTGAGTCTGAAGACAGCAATATTCATTTATGCTCTTCTCTTCAAATGTTGTTCAGTTGTTATGTACAAAATATTTAAAAAGGAATCATGCACAGATCTATCAGACACATTTGATAAAATATTTCTGTACTGAAAACATGCCTGTACCAGTAAGTTTGGCCATAGGTGAATGGCCCACCAGTTTAAACTGTCCTTTAAATTAGTTAATAGAATAAGGACCAACAGGGAGACATAATTTTAATTTACATTTCTAATTTATTGCTAAACTAATAATATACTGAAAAAAGACTGTACAATATTCAACAGAAAATTAGTATTTTCAAAGAGGATCTACAGTATTTCATATTACTAAAAGATCATCTGCTCTTTTGTTAGTTTACTGCCTACACGTTGCTAATAAATTTCACAAAGTTGTAAAATAATAGTATGGAATAACTATGTAGCTTTAACGTTTAATACAAACAAAATCTGTTAATGTATCATCCCACTAGCACTGGATGTTAGTTTGGACACACAAATGTCTGTGGATGGTTTATGTTTCAAGGTTAATATTTTCCAATATTTTCTCATACCTGGCAGTGACACAGTCAGATGTATGTTTCTGAATTGTAATTAAATTTATTCATGATGTAAGACAGAGAAAAAATGGTGCTAACTGAAATTGAAATAGTGAGCTGAACACAGCAGAAAGTTCGAACTATTTGATGACAATGAGTGTTAACACAAAACTTGCTAATAGAACATGGAATGAGGCACATACAAGTAAGATATAAGATATGGTAAAATAGCACCCTGTTATAAGAATCTTTGTTAGCCAACATAGTCTTCTACTTTTAACGTTAAATGCCAATACTGGTTGAGGGCTATCAGGTAACTAAAATCCTGGTGTAAATAACCACTGTCCCCTAAAAAATAAATTTAACAGTGTTTCCTAATCTGTAGGACAAAATTAACAACAAATATAATTCTCAAATTATCTTCACAAGAATGCAACTTTAAATCGTTAAGTGCTTAGAATGATATATACATAGAAATATCAAAACCTTTAATACTCCTTACATCCTTATCCTGATACACCTTCGAAGAATATACAACTGGTACATTGTTATTTGTACAATGACTTTTGTTGCTACGTCTGATGTCAAAATAATTAGTATTAAATCAAAATAGGCAGCCAATTTGACTCATTTTACTTTCAGCAATGCAGCCAATGTTCAATATCTTATTAATCAATCCCACAACATGAAATTGTTCCAACTTCAACATTCCTTCTAAAATTGGTACAAGCCTAACTATGCATATTCATGTAGATATGTTTTAACAGTGAATTCCACTTTCTTCTCAAAGAGAACAAATCAAGAATAGCAATAACTATACATAGTTATTTTAAACACTCTC